AGCGTTTAATTATCAATCCGAGATTGATTATTTAAATATTAAAGTGCTTCAAATAGGACCAATGACGATATTATGTCCTAAGTGCCATGCAAAAAAATGGAAAGATGAAATCAATGGATTTTGCTGCGCTGACGGTAAAGTTGTTTTACAACAATTTGAGGATCTTTTATAACTAATTTATTTTAATTTTAATTTAATTTTTTATTTTTATAAAGCTAGAAAAATTAATGTAATTATCTATACATATATTGTATTCATTATATTATATATTATTTATATAAGTTTGTGTCGTTTATATTTGGCACATTTATTAACGGGTAACGAAGTACACGGGGTCAGTTAGTTTATTATACAATATACAACTATTTACTTTTACTATTTTCATCATTGTAAAAATGTATTATTAATCAACTTACGAAGTAATAATATCAAGTATAAGAAAAAATATTGAATATAAAAATAAAAATATTAATATAAAGTATAAGTAATATCTTTTTTTTTTTTTTTTTCATTGAACTTAAGCCTGACGACTAAGGCCATTAGCTGTTATAGGGGTAATGAACTGTAGTAGGGGTAAGGTTGGTACGGTAAGTTGTTTTTATGATTGTTAGGGTTGTTACGGTAGGTAGCAAACACGTGTATGTGTGGCAAGATTTTTAACTACTACGAAATCGGGTGATCACCCATCCGGGAGCTAGTAGTTGTGGTCGTTACTTACTCCCAGTCGCATTCCGCGACTGGTAGCAGCCAACGCGCCACGCCAAGCCACATAAGTAATATCTCTATCTATCGTTATACCTAATATGTAATTGTTATCGATGCCTGATAATCTGATAACTAATATAGTGATTTCAATTTTACACATTGTAAAATAACATAATTATTTTCATGATTCCTTCATCACTATCTCCCCCCCCCCCCCCCCCGGTTGGGATCCACTGCAATACGATTTGTTTTGTAAATAATGGTTCGTTTAAAATTATTTGATTCCGTTCAATTGATTATTGGGCAGAGTTACATAATATGTTCATCCAAGACCTGGCGGTGTTGTAAGAGTGGCCACGATGTATTCAAATTCTGAGTCCAAAAAGCGCGCTGCCCGATTTCTAGGTTCATTACCCATAGACAACGGTAGAGCACATGCTTATTAGGTTTCTTATATAATTTGTATCTTTATACATTTATCATTTAGCGAATATGATTAATGTGATTTTTTTTTAAAATAATCAAATATGGGTAGGTCAGTCAGTATCAAATTTGAAGTATTTATTTAGAATTTTGCATTTATGTGTACAATACAGTCAATCATATTTTAATGACCTACCCACTATCATGGTTTATATATTATGGCTATCTATCTAATTATCTCTTACCACCCATTTGGTAGACATAATTTATTTTGTAGCCTAATTACTGGCATATGTTTCTGAATTTTCAATTAGTACATCATAACTTTTATGTATTTATTTATTAGTAGTATTATTTAATAAGTCATTGATATTGCATAATTATTTTATTTAATACCATTTGATCCTATGAACTTCGTCACCCGTGACCCGTTAAAAATGCCAACTCTATATGATAATCGCTTTTGATAATGCCGTAATTCACCTGCGATAGTTCGAGGATCCCACTAAGTGCGTACTCTAAATTAATAGTATATATTATTTTTAATTTGATTGAGGACACTTAGATGACGCCTATAAGTACAACTCACCTTGGTTAGGTAAGCCAATGTGCGAAAATTAGATTTGATGCATGTTTCAATTAGCCAATGGCAACCAATATCCAAAAAAAGTACTAATTTCTAGTAAATATATAATTGTGCTTCTGGCTTCTCCTATAACCAATAGATGCCATTTATAAAAAAAATTTTCTTCGTAAATCTCAAAAGCATTTTTTGAGCAACACTTCGGGCTGGACCTATCTGATTCAATTGTAAATTTAAATCATCCAGACAACCACTCAAACTAAAAACTAATTTACATCTTGACAGTTAACAGAATACTAAACAACTAACTCACCAATTGTACTACCTAATGATGCTAAACTGACCAACACAATTTTCTGTAGAGATAAACTGTAGACTGATAGGTATTTACTATTTACCAATAATTGTATACCCGCATTTAGACAAGAGTTGAGCGCTCTCGAAAACCCGTGATATTTTTAGATATCGCTCTGCTTAGATACTGCTGTAGTACTGTTGCTAAAAGGTACAAACATTAATGATTAGGTGACATAGGTGACAGAATGGGTTGAACAAAAAAAAAGTGCTTTTGGCCAACTTTACCTTACTGCTTAATAGCTTATTTTATCGATTTTAATCTTAAATTCCATTACGGAACTTGACTAATTTGTCATGTAAATAGTAAATGTCTAACGGAAGCAATAATATCATATTACCATATTATTAACATTTCACCGGGCCACATTAGGTAATAATTAATTATCAACATTGGCCCGAGGCCCGGAACTTTTTTCCTTATCATTTTGCAATAATAAATGTCTACAACTTGATAACACAGATAGTCAGAATTGAGTATTGATTCAGAAAGGGCGTAACGCCTGCGCAAATCTAATATCTCCTACTGAAAGTTGTTGTCACTTGCTATGGGCCTTAACTACAGACTACAACAGTTGAGTGGTCCACAGTCCACAAACACTACCCACCACTGTTCATTGTGCATTTGTATGTGATTCGTACCCCAGTCCTGGTATTGATTGATTACATCGCCTGTTAGTTGTTACAATTTACGGGACAATATTTCACTGCTTAGTAAGTTTTGTATTTAGGAATATTGATAAAAGAAGAAGTACCTATTAAAAAATACACATCTGTAATTGAAAGTCTAATTTTTAACTCAAAACCTTTAAATTAAAAAAAAAAACATTACTTTCGCTATGTCTCCTCTATGTGTGAGACAAAGTGGTGTACTCAATCCTTTGGGATACACTATGTCAAATCATACAGATGTAGCAAAATCAATATTTCTTGGATTTTCATTATTTGGTTTTGTTGGAGTTAACGGGAATAAACCAAGTCCTCAACTAATCAGTACCATCAATAGGGGCATGTTGCATTTAAAAGTAAGTAAATGTATAACCCTTTTAGAATATAATATAGCGTTTACCTCAGTTTATTATGTGTCAATATATGCTATACAGTTTATTAATTATTAGTATAATAATTCAAAAGTAAATAAATAATAATATTATTATTATTAGGTGCTTATTTAAAAACTATATTCTTCATAATGTTATACATCTAATTATGTTAATTTATTCTCCTACATAGTTGCTACACAGCACAGTTGATTCTTGCGTCTCATTTTAAACTTTTTGAATGTAATATAAAAGCTTAATAAAAATGGGTACATTTTATCTAAATTTACTTACATTTTACTTAAGTTAATATGCCTACATAGTGGGTTACTATAAATGTTAGGACTGGAATTTACTAAAATTAGTTCTTACCAATGACATTATTAATTAACAGTATAAAATATACTCAATATTTTATCGTAAGAAAATTTCTCTCTTCTTCCTGAGTTACCTTCTTAGATACTTGTCTATGGTCTGTGTGGCTAGTGTTCAATGTATTTAACTCTTTTGTAAGTACACAAAAATAAATAAAAATTATTTTGAAGACTATTTTGAAACATTTTGGGCTTTGACAACACCTGCTGTAACCATACATATGATTGTGAATGTCTCTTACACATATGCTATCATATTATTCCTATATATTCCCGTATATTCCTTATAAATAATTGCTTAGGAGAGCGCACAGGGTATGCTAGGTGTGCCATGGCCTGTGCCTATTTGTACAATATTTATTCGTTCTGGAATTTGTTAAATGATTAAGCTACAAAATATTTAGTATGAATGATAACCAACAAGGATGCTGTATGAACAAATTTAGATAACAAGTTTAATAAAAAAAACCCCACTAATAGTGTATAACTCATTTCTACTGTTCAATGTTCTAGGTTGATTGTAATATAGATGGTATTCATTTTTTTTTACCAAGGATTGTGTTTCTACTTTTACTTATAAAAAATTAAAACCTTTAACTTTCTGTTATTATAAATATGATTTATAAATTTATATTTTTCATTAGGTAAAATTCATTAATTTAAATTTTTTTATTGGTGGTGGGTGGGTTAGGTTTGTTAAGGCCTATTTAAAGGCATGTGCCCAATTTTCTTCATGACACACCCCATACCAAATTCACACACTCTTGTAAAATAAGTAAGAAATAATCATGTTCTAATATCTAATATTATTTTGTATGTTTTAGAATAACAATTACAATGCTTTTGAAGAAACATTACAAGTGGCTCTCAAAATTGCCAATGATTTTAAGAATGCTTTAGGCATTACATTTATATATGATATGCTAGCAAATGGAGCGTTTATAAATAAGGAATATGAAAAAGCAAAACATCTGTTTACCAAAGTCATTAAACAGTTATTTGATCAAGGAGCCTATGAAGATGATCTTAAAGTTCTACACATAAGTCTTAAACTTTCTAAAATTCACGAAGTTCTAAATGATTACAAGTAATTATTATGTTACTTATTTATAAATTTGTTTGTTAAATATTCTAAACGCAAGTACAAGTATCGATTTATTTTTAATATGCTTAATTGAATATAGAACTTATAGTTTAGTATTATCTGAATTACAATTATAAATTAATGATGTACTTAAACTATTTTATTACTTGATGATATATAAGTATAAATGGCAGGAGTATTATTGTTCACACAGAACCTCCTTTGCTGTCTGTTAAACAGGAAAAAAAATGAATAAAAGAAAAGTACAAATATTGAGTTGCTTAAATATTGAATCATTCAATGGTTTATAAAGTTTCATGTTCCAATGTAAAATTAATAATTTTTAAGGGATTAATAGCATTAATTATAAATAATATAGATTGCTCATTGGGGTACAAAATCCATGAATTTACTAGCTCAATGTTTTTTGTACCACCGCAAGTGATCTATTTAGTATTTCTAATCAATCCTCATAGGTATCAAGTTAAAATATTCAACAATCCAATAAATGTTCAATACTTCTTTATACCACTGGAATAACTTAATTATACAATTAAAAGCTACAGACCAACCAAATGTGAAGTTTAATGCAAATAAAAGTGATATTTAACTGTACAGTAGACTTATTTATTATTTTTTATGGTTAAAAGTAATAAAATTATGTAATTTAGCAAACGTTAATGCAAATTAATTGTTAGTAATTATGTATTGATAGTGATTATAATATTAGCACATAGGTTTTTGAACACTCATACTGGTATATTATACATCATACGACATTATCTTAAATTATAATACCATTTATAAACTCACAGTAAATTAAGAATAAATAATTTATTATTTTTTAAATTTTAAATATTAGTATGTAAATTTGTTTCAGAAATTCTGAAATTGGTTACTTATTCTGTATACGACATTTGGAGGAGAAGATGAAATATGATCCTGAAAACGAAGATGTTTTAGGTTTATATGCTATAACATTAGACACATATGGTCGTTATTTATTGACTGAAGGACAAACTGAGATAGCAAGGATTTGTTTTAGAAAGGCATATAAAGCTAGTGTGAAGTTAAATGGCGAAGTATTTGAAATGAATGTTATTTTGTTGAATGATTTGGGAACCATTTACTATGGACAAGGGAAATTAGACCAAGCATTACACTGCTTTAAAAAGGCAGAACAAATTGGGCAACATCTTCCTGATATGAAAAGTTTTTCAATGGTACATATAAATCTCTCTTACATTTACTTACAGCAAGGACTGTTAAAAGAAGCAGAAAATCATTGTGTGGAAGGAATGACAAATGCTATAAGACATGGTTATGAGGATGGTAAAAAAGAAGCAGAATATTGTTTAGTTGGAATTATAAATTTTGCAAAGTGTAAGATTTAGTAATTTTTTTTTTTTGTAGACCAAATGTTTATTAGTATTTCATTTCTTCAAATTATTATTTATGTTTTATTACAATAATTTTCATAAAATTTTATTGTAGGCACTTATGTCAGCGTGGAACTATTGTGTATAAAAAAAAAATGGTTGTAACTTTTAAGTGAGTTATTTAAAAATTTTACAATTTTACAATAAAAAAATAATTTGAATAAGTACAGTTTAATGATATAACAAGAACTATCTAATGTATGATAACATTTTATTACTATTATTATTAGTTTAACTTATCAGATCATATTTTATAAAATTTTTAAAAATGTATTGTTTAGGTATACTATGTACTGTTTATCGCATTTTTGAATTGGATTATTATTTTGTTATAAGTTCAAGTATGTTATTAGTTAGGTATATTAAGTAACAATTAATTTCATAGCATCTTATTTAACTCTAATTTTCTGTCAATTAATATAAAAACTAAGTATGGTTCTTATTATTTATATTTCTTTCTACAACTTATGAATTATATACTTATCACTTAATATAATTTCTGGTACACAGCAGGACAATATACCAGAGATTTGGTGTAAAGCCTCAACAATACATTAAAGATTTTATGGATTTATTTACTTATTAATAATTATCTCATTATTTATTCTTACTTAATAATACTATAATATTAATTAATATAAGTTTTAAATTACTTACCACTTAATACGTAGAAAATATTTATGATTATCATAGAATAAAATATAGCTTAAAAAAATATTAAATACATTTTATTGTTATATTTATACCCAAAAAAAATTAATTAATCCTTTAAAACAATAAATAATAATTTTACTAAAATTATTATTGTATAAGGCATAAGCTATTATTATTATGATATTAAATTATTTATTATGTCAATGTTTTTATTCATTAGTAATTATTACTCTGCGATCATTTTTGATTTGTTTTGCTTATTAAGTATTAGTATGAGAGTAGGTAATTTTAGTATACCTACTATTATGATAACTATATAATGTGCAAGCATAAAATTACCCAAAAAAATATACCTCGTGTTAGAAAATTACAATATTTATTCAAGGTTTTTAATTTATGATTTGGTACATACCTATTTAACTATTCGTATTGTGTTTTATATTTTATACTACCCTAAACTATTTTAAGTATAATTAAGTAGCTAAGTCACTACAAATTTAAATATTGTTTTTTAAATTTATATTAATTTAATCGTTTTTTCTCATGTTGTTAAATTAATGCTAAAAAATTACATACAAATGTTATTAATGTCAGACACACTTTATAATACAAGTAATTCCAATATTTTATATTTAACTCCTTTATTTGTTTCAAATATGTAATTTAGTATTAGAAAAACTATTATGAATAATATATTGGGTTCCTATTTATTAAAAATGTTTAACTTATAATAATAATAGTAAAATAGAAAATAGATTTTATCAATTTATAACTAAGTTGATTTCAGTACAACAAATTACAATTACAATTTTTAACTGTATAATATATTTATGTTCTGTATAAAATTAAAAAAATTAAAAAACCAGCCTCTTCAATGTATGTATTTATTTATTTATTTTTCTTTTTATTGATCTTAAGCTTCGGCAACTGAGGCCATTAGCTGTAGTAGGTATTGTAGGTTTGTATTGTATATTTTGGGACGGGAGGGGGGAACACGTGTGTGTTTGTTTTTGGCAGAATTTCGAATGGGGCACCCGTAGGTTTCTGCCATACCCCAGGGGTGGGGGATGGCAGCACTTGTTTTCCGGTCACCGCGACTTGTCCGGAGAAAAATGCCGCCCGGTGGCCGAGGATCGAACCGCGACCGGCTGCGTCGCAGCGGACGCGTCAGACTAGGTACTCGGTCACACTCACCTCGTTTTTATTATGTTTTATTCAAGCAACAAGAATGAAAATCGAAGTTCAATGCACCCTAACCACTCTGTGAGAGTTTTTCCTGAGAAACGTGTTGAGTGCAAGATATCACGCTTTTATTATTGGTCGGCAGTTATTGGACCAGGGCAGTATTTAGGGGGGTGCAAGGAGACATTTGCACCGAGCGGCCAAATATTGATCTATTTAGGGGGTGGCCAGGCCTTGCTGTAACCCGGTGTAGTATTGTATCAATAAATTATTTTTTTTTGGAAAGAATTCGTACTATGACACGACCCTTGTGAACTTAGCAATGCAACAATAACGGATAAGTGCCAGCATTGAATAAAATTAATATTATTTTAACCTAACCATGGTTGTACAACTATGGCTTAACCATAAAGAATTATAACTAAAAATGTGTTAAAAAAATAAAAAAAGTGATCTATTTTTTGGTGGAGGGGGGTTGGAGGGGGGCATACAATTATGGTTGACTCAGGGCGCAAAAATTGTAAATACGGTGGTGGCTGTGCCGTTGTCATGAGTGTGCGAGTAGCGCGTGCTTAAATATCTCGGCACTGACATCTGACATACAATCACACTCACACTATTTATCATTGACGACTAACACTAATGCTATGGGTAGCAGCAACTTAACTGCATATTGCCTAAATATTGCCCCTTAGTATAATCCGTTACAGCGACCTCCTTGACATTTTAATGTACAGAATGACATCTAATTATAAGAATTTTTTTAATTTATATTTTAACAATTTATTAGCTAAGGGTATTTTTTGTATCTTATTCGTGAGTATTTACTTTGAGTAGGTATACTACTATATTTTATGCACACAATTTATTTTCAAATCCAAAGCATTCGACAGCAAATTAATTCAACCCACTATACTAGTATATTACTATTAGTAATAATATGTTAATATTGGCTGAAATATTGTCTGGGCTCATAAGCGTTTTTTGTATGCAATGATTTAGCATTGAATTTAAATTTAACTCATACATATACAACACAGTGATTTACTCGACACCAAATGGACAGCAGAACGGATATCTATTGTTACTGCGATATGGTGGACTGAACGGTAAATATTAATATGATAACTGTCGAGGTGAAAAAACTCAAAAATGATTTTGGTTTTTTTATGCCTAGGGACGGCCTACTATTCTCAGGCAAGAATGGCAATTGGGACACACAAGTGGCGGCTCTTGGGTGGCGTTGGGACTCTTTTAATTCATAATACTAAATAGTAAACTAACTAATATTAAAAAATATATAAATAATAAACAAAGTACCGTAAACCGGTTGGCATGGTGGTGTTGGTGTGGAGGTGGTGGTCGGACTGTCGGAGTAAGGGAAGTCCCCCGATTGCGGCCGAAATTCACATTTTACGTTTTTAACCTACACCGATTGTGGCCCGTACATAGTAGTTAGGAAATACGATTTTAAATGATTATTAAAACTAAATAAATATCCTGATTGGGTTTGATACAATTTGATCACAATTCACACGATCATCAATATTCGATGTGATAATTTCCAGTCCATTAAAGATAAAAAAGCAGACAAATTGTAAAATTTCAAGATTGGGAGGGACATGGTTGAATATTATGTTACTATCTAGTTTTTCGTTTTATAAAATGTAAATGATGGAAATGTACGAAATGTTATGCGAAAAAGACAAACAAACATTGGTAATTTATAAATCTGAACTTCGCTTTCATCAGTTATTAGCAAATGCAATATAAAGATGGTGCTGTGCAAATAAAAACTGTAAAAGTTTAATTAAACGGTACAGTAAAGACTTTCTAATAAGCATATTAAGTAAATTTGACTTGAAAGAACATAATTATGAAGCTGATACTTAAGAGATATTGGAACGTCATAACTCATAATAAACTAATTTTATTTTATATTTTTTTTTTATTTTAAACAATTATTTGACAATATGACTATATATTAGGTGTCCCGTCACGGAGTTGCCAGTGTATGATATAACTATATAAAAACAACGTTTTCACTCCCTTAGAGGTTAAATTGTGAAAAATCCTTTCTTAGCGCGCCCCTACATTGCTTAATTAACTTCTGTACAAAATTTCATGTCTGTGGACCCAGCGGTTTGGAGCTGGCTGGGCGTTGATGAGTGAATAGGGATGTCTATAAATGTCTTAAATGTACTTCGAAGCCCTTTAAAAATATCAACTCTATAAGAGACTCGCTTGTGATAATGTGAGCAGTATATTATGAGATTTGACCCCGCCAGGTGCGCACTCTATATGAATAATATGTTTAATTTTAATTTTATTAATTTTTTTTTATTAATTATTATGATTGTGTAATGCTGATGAGCGGTTATAAGTGTAACTCAGCCGACATCCGCCTTTGTAGGCAATATACCTACTAAAATTCGATTTGATGCATTCTTAAACCTGATCTGCCCGATTAACCAATGGCAACCAAAATATTGAAGAAATACCAAGTTCTACTCAAAAATTAAGAAAATTACTCAAGGATTTAGTTATTTATTAAAATAAACAAGCAAATTGTATTGTGTATACATATACATATTGTATGGCACGGCGGCCGGGGGTGACTTAAGTTTGTTTAAAATATACATATTTAGGTATTGATAGATTATAGAATTTTACTTTAACCTAACAATAAAAGGTTCCTCTTAAGTTTCTGTTGGTGGAAATTAAAAAAAAAAGTAAATCCACAATAAACTTTTATGATCGTCAGAATTTCAAATTTTGACATAATTAGTTAAAAACACTACAGTTAGAAATTCATAAAATATTTTAATTTTTAAATCTAAGATTTGAATCAAGATTCCATATAAGTTTGTCCACCTTTACCAACAAAAAAATCTACTGAAAAGTCAAATTAAATTTGAAATGTTCACCAAATGTTTATTGTATCATTTACTATACTGGCTGTATGTACTTAATAAAAATAATTTATTATAAAGAAGAAGACAATTTACAATAAGTAATAAAATAATAATGCTCTTTATGGGAAAAGAGTAAGGGTATAAGAGTAAATACTAAATACAGATAACAAAAGGTAAAAAATGTAAATAATAATCTCCGCTAGGCACTAAATGCATAATAAATGTGTAGTACATAAGTGTTAAACATAAAATACAGCTAATAAAAAATTATTACTTACATTAATTATAATATAAAGTTATTACTTAGAATAATTG